CATCGATCCCAACCCCACAGATCTTCAGGCATGACATGACCAGGCCGAACGAATCCGCTGGGCAGCCATAGTGATTCTTGATCTTGTTGTCCAATGCATTCTGTAAAAAGACCATGTTTAGGTCTACCGTGTTGTTCCAAATCGTAAGGCAATCACCAGAAAGCACACCCTCCCTGTGAAATTGGAACCCATTCTGTGTGATCATCTTGGAAGAATCATTGGCGATCTCGATCATTGCCGCATTCAAGCGATCGACCCTGACCTGATCCAGTGGTTTCAAGCTTGGTAATATAGATTGGATATATCTCGATGTCTGATTGTTCACACTCTTGTAAGTCGATGCAAGTTCTCTGGGGAGTGCGCACGTTTCCAATATCAGTTTGATGTCTGGCTGTGCGCTGTCAAAGGACTCGGACATGACACCCGGCTTTGACTCGATCAAGTCAATGGCACCCAGGCGCCCAGTGGTGATGTGGATATCCTTGATATTCAGACCAAAGCAAAGGATGTTGCTGCCGCTCTTGATGTCCGGGCCACTGCACATCGCCATGAATTGGATATGCTGTAACTCCATCATGTTGCAATCCGACTCAAAGACAAATACATTGTCCTTGTCACTCACCCTCTTGCCTGAAAAGCTGCTGTATGCATTGTGCCATGCAAATAGCTTCGATACCATGTTGCCCGGCCTGCTGTTCTGCATCACATAGGCCCTCACAGCAACGCAAATTTATTTTCACTCATTATCTTATGAAATTATTCAATTTGTCCAATAATCTCGATAGTCTTACAATCTCCTTGTTCTTTTTCATGTACGAACAGGGCCATTCTGAAATAGGTTCATTGGTAAAAGCAAAATCCTATTCAGAGTCCGAGCACCCATCAAAATCTTTTCTTTTTTTGCAAAGCATTGCGTCTTTATCAGTCTCTAGAGAAGGGGATGATCTCTTTATCTCTATGATAAGCCTGCCAGGACCATCATCAAACTCAGTGTAATAATCGATGTACAGGCCATTCCCAATCTCCACTCGATCGTCAACAACGAAATCTCTGGACTTCAACCATCGCGTGGCCATGACTTTCATGCTCAGGTATTCCCTATTCATCATGGTAAAGGATGGCTGTATACCCAACAGAGGCTCGATCCGTTCGTCGCGCGAAAGGCTTATCGGTATGATATGGTCCTTGATTACTGATTCGATGGTATCAAAATCATCCATGGCAATATTAAGACTCATCCTGAAGATTGTCTCGCCACGTGGTTTATTCATTTCTATCAAAAACACTTGCAAATCTTTTAATACAACGCATGTCCACTAAATTTCCATCCGGTCCTCATGAGATAGGTCCTCCATCTTCTTTAACTTTCGGATAAGGTTGGATGTCTTGGGGTGGCGGAAAATCAAGGTATGGTTATTCAAATGCCACCATGCATTGACAATAGACAATATGATGAATTCATCACTCTTGTCATTGTTGCTCACGTCTCTGAATAAGCCACGGGTTCTGTAGATCTCGGTGAAGCATTGTTTAAGATGGATGGGAATGATATGGAAATAGTAGTTTCTGAAACTTACGCCATCGCACAAAGAGTGCGCATCCCTGTGTCTTGGTAGGATCGACTTTTTCTCCATCAATACATTGAAGAGGCGCTTTACATTCCTAAGATCTGGAATTGCAACTTCCCCTGGAGCTATGGAGAATGCAATTAACTCGTCCAGTGGAAGTAAGTTTTTTTTCAATGCATGTTGTTGATGTAAAGTCTCTACACCCCCTGACTGAAAACGATTGCATCTCCTCAACCAATTGGTGCATCGACAGCAGGTTGTAAGACGCTCGTCGCTGTCACAGGTCTTGCAGAGAGATCGGATACACTCCCAAGTAAACGTGGTACTCAACCAGCTGACATCGAGATTCAAAAGAAATGTCTCGACTCTATGGCTCCTTCTATCCTCCTTGGAAACCAAGAGCATGCCACATATGACACATATATCACACGGCTCCACAAAATCAGGGATTAGCCTGATGTCAAGGAACGTCACCTCATCCATGCTCACCCCCTGCATCTTCGCACAATCGATCAAAATGTAAAGTACTTATGAAAGCACCAGCACACCTCAGATATGACATTTTTTTTTAAAACT